TATACTATTTTTCTGGCTTTAGTTGTCTACTTTTCTCCTTCATTCCACTGCCCCATTCATTGAGGCCTCTCTGCCACTGTTTCTGAAATCCTGGTATTGTTTTTGTTTTCTCTCTAGAATGTCCTTCAGTATTTTCTGTAGGGTTGAATTGGTCATCATGAACTCCCACAGTTCTCTTTGTTTTGGAAGCATCTTGTTTCTCCATTAATTTCTAGAGACAGTTTTTCAGGGTACATCAATCTGGGCTGGAGGTTATTTTCTTTCAGGGCTTGGAATACTTTGCTTCAAGCTCTTCTTGATTTGATGGTCTGTGTTGAGAAGTCTGCCGTGATTTTGATGGATTTTCCTTTATAGGTGAGCTGCTTCTTTTCTCTGACAGCTTTTAGTATTCTGTCCTTATATTGAATTTCTGGGATCTTAATTATTATATGTCGGGTGTAGTTCTGTTTTGGTTGTAGGTGGCTGGGGTTCTGTATGCCTCATACATCTGAATATCACTTCCTTTTCCTATGCTTGGGAAGTTTTTCTTAATTATTTCTGTGAATAGCCTTTGCATTTCACTGTGTTTACCCCTGCTTCTTCACTCACATTTTTTATTCTTAAGTTATAGATCTTCTTGTCATCTTCTAGCTTTTATACTGTTACTGTCTGTTTCATTGTTATTTTTAAGAGATCTTTCCTTTCATGATCATGCATTGCAAACCCGTCTTCAAGTTTTATCAATCTATATATAGTTTCTGTCAGACAATTTTTCCAGCTTTTGAAGGAGTTTTTAATTTCCTGGTAATCTCTTTGAATCTGTTTCATGTACTCTAGATTTTCTTTATATTCTTCATTGAATGTTTCTCACCTTTTTTGTGTTCCTCCATTCTTCTATCTGTGTCTTCTTGAGAGGTGATTAGCATTTCTTGTATTAATCTTCTTATATTTTGCTTTACTTGAATTAATATTTTAGTTTTGAGCTCATCTATGATGTCACAAAAATATCTCTTGCCATATCTGATATTGCATGTTTGCTGCCCTCAATCTCTTCTGTATTTACCTCTCCTGGATCAATATAGCAGGTTGGGGTCTGGGGATTTTTTCTTATTTCTTTTTATGTTTTTGGTTTCTTTCATACAGGTGTATATTGGAGCCCCTTTCCTTGTTTTATGGTTCTTCTGAAGCATATTGGCTAGGCATTTCTGCCCTCTCCAGTTTGCTGTTGGTCATTGAGGTGCAAGCAGGTACAGCATATGCTGGCTCCTCTCCACCAAGCCAGTCAACCTGTGGGGGCCTTCACCACATTAATGTGTGCAGTGCATACAGAATCAGTTCTGGGTAATAACTTATTGAGTCCTGGACAGGGGTGTGACCCAGACCAGGCAGATCCCACCAATCTGCTTTGGGTAGGGAGTAACCAACTGAAGTCACTGCCATTCCTAGTTCATGCCCATCATGCCTGATTCCAATGTGTCATCTAGTTGGTTGCCCCTTTCCCATGGGAGGGTCTTATTCCATGTACTCACTGCAGGTTAGTGCAGGTCTCCACACCAGCTCCGTTCTCTGTTGGGCTTGCTGACTCCTTACTTCAGCATGACCGTGGCTCTGGTATGTCATGTCAGCACAAGTTAGGTGGCTCCAGTGAGAGCGCCATGGCTGCTAATCTTAGCTGCTCAATAGTAGCCCCAGGACTGCACATTTGACCAGCTCTTTTCCCTTTAGTTTCTTCCTGGGTCAAGAGGATCCATCTCCTTCTGTCTGGTCCTCTCCAGGATGTTTTATTCCAGCATCTGACTTGTTTCTCTAAGAGAGCCTCTGTCTTTTGCTGCTTACTGATCCACGATCTTTAGCTCCACCTGTCATGATTTCTTACAGAGAGATATCACAGAGCAGTCCTTAGGATAGTCAATTTTGATAAGTGAAAAACACCTCATACAGTACAGGGATGAAAATCCAGCTCAGTTTATGGCTCACTTGACTGCACTTAGATGTTATCAGCATTAAACCTAGAAAAACTGGGGGATGGCTTGTCCTAAAGATGCGTTTTATTACTCAGTCAGCACCAGACATTTGTAGAAAATTACAGAAACTGAAGCCTGGCCCTCAGACCCCACAAAAAACACTTACTAATGTGGCTTTCAAGGTTTTAATAACAGAGACGATCTACCAGAAAACAGTGTGTTCTTGAGCTGCAGATGTTAACCTCCACTGTAAATGGCCCCCAGCTGGAGGAATATCCATGGCCTGGGCTCCCTCTAAGCCGTGTCCTCTCTGTGGGGTCCTTACTAGAAGTCGCACTGCCCACTTGCCAGCTTCTTCCCAGACCTTATTGGCTAGAATGAAACCAGTGGAGACCCACTGGAACATTTCAAGTGCCAAACTAAAGGTGATTCTTGCAATGTTAAGTCTATTTCATCCTTAATCAAATAGATGCTTATCAAGATATAAAAACCAAATCTTATAAAAGCTAGTATTATAGAGAGAGATCCCACCAATGATTTTTTTTTTTTACAAAGACCTACATAATTAAAAGAAGGTGTCAAAGTGATTGGGCTAAAAGCTAAAAAAAAAAAAAAAAAAAAAAAAAAAAAAAAAAAAAAAAAGAGGAGATGACATAAAGCTGCCAAAATTCTTAAAACAAGATAGAACACAAAAATGAAAAAGGTTTTTATTTCTTTTAATTTTCATTATGAGACCTCTGTTAACTGACCTGTGAAAAGTTCTGACTAGGCTATGCCCTTGATATAAGACTAAATTAAGAAACAAAGATTTTCATATAGCTATGATATTCATTATTGTTGATTTCATGGTGCACTGAATGTATTCATATCTTCCAGGTATACAGATTTTCCAAGATATTAAACCAATGTTGTTTGTAATTATAACCTTTTTCTAGATTCAGATATCTTCCTTTTGCTTATATTCCAGCTTTAGTTAAGAAAAATATATATCAAATCAGCAAGATACCACCTGTCAAATAATAGTTTTACAAGGGTTTCCCCCAACACAGGACTGGCAGGTTGATTCCACCCACAAGCTGTGTGAAAGTTCAGGCTTCTCCTGCTAAAGTAGACACCTACACCAGGTAGATAAAAGCATTCTCTAGTACCTCAGCAATGGCTTCTGTTATTATCCACTGTCTTTCAGCTGACACAGTTGCAAGGTGTGATCTTCCTACCTCCTTTAATCAGATAATAGATCAGTCAGATTACCCAAGAAGGGCCTAACTCACTAGGGATCCAATAAAATTCACATGCCCCTACAGCCTCAGCAAGGCTCATCTTACTAAACACGTGCTCCAGCTTCACAGGGACTAGATTTTCTTCCTCCCAGTGGCTCTTTTAAGAATTCTTTCTATCCCTAGAAAATCCCTTAGAGACTATTACAACAGGTCCAAAAAAAAAAAACAAAAACAAAATCCCCACTTTGCTCACTTCCTTCTCCCTCCTCCTGACACTCACCCTTATGAGGATAACCTGGCAGGTAAATTGGTTTTAGTTAAATATTTAAAGTCCAGTTTCCTGCAGACCAAGTGGAAAGGACCTTTCAGAATCATCTGTAGCAGTCCAAAAGCTGTTTCACGCTCCAGAGTACCACTGTGCCCTCTCACAGTGTGCCCAATCTCTCCTGCACATAAAAGTCACAAGTAATCTCCCCCACATCCATCATGCTGGCCAGAATTCCAGAAAATACCTCAATGCTATTTTCCTTACTCTCCACCTGTTTGACAAATAAAAAGACCATTTTATTATATGTTTTCCTGTAGATTTTATCATATTAATTGCTTTCCGAGCCAGTTGTCTTTTGCTTTAAGAATAAAATACTCCCACCCGCGTGACCACTTTTACCAGAGCCCTAATGGCACTGTCCTCCCCTTACCTACAACCTTTGACCAGATTCCTCAAGATGTCTCTCCCATTTAGGCCTTCCACACCACCCTATGTCATGCCAGAGGCAGTCCTGAGCTCCTCTGCCCTCTTTCCCACCCTTTTCTGTATGTAATAACAAAAAGACTGGGCTGTCAAACTGCGCCGAGAGTGACCTGAGAGAGACTTGGGCTGTCCAGTACAAACAATGGACTCTCCACTACTAGTAATAGCTCACTCCTTGTAAATAAGAAGCAAAGGCTATGAAAAATTTAATGAGGCTAAGGTCTCCCTGCAGTCTTCTGATGCCAGCTCTGTGTACCAACCTGAGCTGACTGCCTGTACAGTCTTAAACTCAAACATTTCACCCAGATTCTTTAAAACTGTGCCCCCAAACTTGAAACCTATATATACACTCAGTTCCTCTTTAGATATTTGCTGATACACACTATTATGGACCGATGAGGTCTACAGTCTCTTAAATGAGTTGACGGCAAATGGCATAAATAAAAGAAACAGGTGGTATGACTTTTAGGGCTCTCAGAAGGTCAAAACCTTCTAATAGAATCCATAATTCTCTGGGTGTTGAGACAAGGAACTTCTCTGAGCAGCCTGTATTTATTTGGTTTTCAAACAAGAGAAGGTGATACTGAGGCAAGCAGAAAACTGAGCAGGGGTTCAAAGACTTGGGCATCAGTTCAAGACTTTTCCAAGCAGTACATTTGTCAAGCTCTGGAGAACTGTCTTATCTCTAAAGTTGGCAGCTTCCCTGCTCTGGAGTCAGGGTGTCAGCAGCCCATGACCTTGGTGCCTCAGCTGCGGTGCTATCTTGACTTGAAAGCATCATGCATGTGCTCTTTTCCAATGCAGCTACAGGTTCTTCACCCTGTATAGCCCAGTCTCCAATAATTCACTCCGAAGTCAGCCCTCCTGTAGGTAGAGGAAGGAAACCTGACCACCCCCACAGTTTCAGTCTCTGGGTGGTTGTCAGGGAACTTAAGGAAAGGGTGTAGGCAGGGAATAAACAGAGGACTCTGCCATGCTGGTGGATGGGGGAGGGTCAGCGAGAAGCCTTCCTCAGGTGCCCCTCCCTTCCCCTGGGGAACCCTTTGTGATTCTGTTGGGCTTTATGATGCGGGCAGGTACATAGTCAAGCTCCTGCAGCTTCACCTTTGGATTATGCAGAATGTTCTCTCCTTTCTAAATAGCCAGCCTGAGCCATGGCTGAGCTTTGGCTCAATGTTCTTGGATACAGAACCCAACTACACCTTTCTGAGTGCAGCAGGGTTGCTTTTTCTCCCGTTCTTGTGCTATCCATTGCTGAAACCATGGTTACCATTCCTCTGGAAAAACAAAGACATCCAAAAGGTATGGAAATGTAGGTGAATCTCTAAGAGGGAGTCTTTGTTTTTGTTTCTCATTTCAATTGTCAAACTAAGTGAATTTAGCTGTCTCAGGACACTCCTATAATGGGAAGTCTGCCAGGAAGATTTGCCACCTCTCTTTGGGGGAAAAGGCAGTAGGAAGGAATGGGGAGGCTCACCTTTTCCATCCAGCCAGCCCACTCACTACCTCTCTGTGCGTTGTGGCAAGGCTTTCCAAGATATGCTCTCCCTGCAGCTGACGGGCTCAGCTACAGACTGTGTACTCTGAAGGAGAATAGTCTCTTTTGACCCCAGATGCTGAGGCCTGTTCCCAGCCCAGGGTCCTTCCCAAGCCTGCCTCCCTGTTGGGATGACCAGGAAAGCCATGCCGTCCTCTAGCAGTGTCTGAACAGAGAAGAGCCTGAGCCCCCTCCTGAGATCCTCAGAGGGACACACAACTGACTGTGAGTCTAGGTCTCCACCATTCTCTCTCTAGCCGAGGCTGGGAAAGTGTGGGTCTCATGGATAAAAAAGTCTCCTTTGAGTTTCTCAAGGAGATAAAATTGAAAATGATAGTCTTTCAAAATGAGTGAAAGGAACAAATTTCCATTAAGAGGGACAGTCATGTGACTCATGGGAAACTACTGTCTGAGAAGGAAGCAAAGGATGAGTTCTGGACACTCTGTTTATTTTGTATTTATTTTTTCAGCCACAGCTCAGTGTCAAAAGGAGAAGTGGAACATTGAGAGGTGCGTTTTTTCCTTCCTTACCTGCCCGTGGTGGTTGTTAGACACGGTCTCTGTCAGGACACAGAGGCCTAGATGAGAGGTGCCCAGGAAGGCTGTAGAGCCCACTCTGACTGCGTGACGTGAAGCAGCAATGGAGCAGAGCTGTGTGCTCTGTGAGAGGTCCAGACAGGACTCTCGGGCAGAGCTTCTGCTTCCTGACAGTGTGCAAAGTACTTTATTTATGGATTCCCAGCTTTATCAGTGAGGTGACTTCTGACACTTTTGCTTCACTTGATAGTTTTGAGCATCGCATGGGATGATGAATGTGCAGGTACTTTACAAATGAAGCCACAGACCCACGGGGATCTTCTTAACAACATCCACCACCATGTCAAACCTTGTCTACTGACTTTTAGGGTTTTGAGATTGTAAAATCCTGAGTTTCTCATGAAGTGTCTCCTGTAAGAGCCCTGTGTTCACACCTTCCTTACCTGTCTCCCGTTGTTTGTTTTTCCAGGTCAGAAGACAGGCCAGGGAGAAGCCGAGGAGTGGAGGAAGCTGCTTTCTATTCTGAAAAGGTGACTCATCACTTCCCTTTTGCCCTGATCCCTTTTCCTATGTGTTTAGTACACAGAAAGAAGCAGTGCATCGTGCGCTGGCCATAGCAGGGCAGCCACAGCAGCAGGGAAGGGAATGCAGGCTGGGAGGAGTTGTGGAGCCCTGCATGAAGCCATGGCTTTGGGGCAGCAGGAAGAGGTAGGAGGAGCCAGGTGTCCCCACCCCCACCAGGATAGCATGATTTCCTTTGTTTATGCTGGTCTTGGCTGCTACCTTGTACTTTGTGTCTCTTGTAGCCCCTCGGGCCAGCACCATGACATTACACACTTCCGACAACTGCTGTGTCCAGATCCCTTCTGTAAGGTGTGTAATACCACAACAGCTAAGGTCCGTCGTCTGCTCTCTCAGGCATCCCTGGAAGATGATGCTCCCACTATATCTCATTTGTCATTCACTGCTTCAGTGAGAAAGCCATCACTCACTCCAACCTCTGCCATCTCTGCGATTTCTGCAGGGCAGCCAACTCCAGCCTCATTGACTGAACAGTCTCTGCTTCAGCCCTCCACTGCCCCACCTTCCCAGGTCACTCCTTTAGCAGATCCACTTTCATCCTTGGTGCTGAGTGACTCTGTGTCAGCAGAGCCCAACCCTCCCTTAGATCCCAGAGTCCCTGTGGACCAAGTCCCATCGGAGCCACTTACCACTCCCTCTTGCCTACCACATCCTACTCAAGTAAAAGAAACTGTACTGCAACCAGAAGCCCTGCTGTGCGTTGATGATCGCTCTGGTGACTTGTCCACTGATGACTTCAGTTCAGCAGAGGCCTCCTTTGGAGCACAAAGCACAGCTGACCAGGTAGAACCTGGATCCTTAGGGGTTCCCAGATCTGCTGATCCTGCCCTCCTTGAGAATGACATCAAAAAAACAGATGATTTCCTGATGTGCAGTGAACAAGAAAAAGAAGCAGAATCTTTTGCAAAACGACATGAGCCAGTCTGCCCACTGACTACTACAAGAAGACCAGAGTCTGCTGAGGATCAGCAGTGCTCTGTACTCTCCTGTCTTCTTGAGAGCAGTGACAGCAAACGAAAAGACCTGCACATGAATCACAAGGTTACAGGTCCTAAAAACTTGGAGGATCAGGTAGAGCAAAAAGGTAACCAGTTCTGCCATCACCCAGAACTGCTTAGACAGTCGCTGAATCCTCTTATCAATACTTCAGGTGACTGTTTCAGTGCAATAGCGAAGATCTTCAAAGCCTATGAAGCTCCAGTCCTCCCACACACTCCTCCTCTTTTTTTGGCAGAGGTCCAACCTCAAATCGTGAGGCAGTCTCCAACCCACCATCTCCATCTTGTACAGGCACAGGGCCAGCTTCAGTCCCTGTCTACAGTACTGCCAGATCCTGCTCTAGCCCAGAATCGCACCTGGGAAATGTGTTTTCATAGCACTCAGAGTGAGGTACAGTCTCTCACACTTTCTGAAGTTCGCCACCTAGAATATAATATGCTACCAAAAGTACAAGAAAGTGAGCGGTGTTTCCCCTCTGTGGTCCAAAAATTCCAGGAAGACATTGGTCCTCCAGCTCACAAGCTACCATCAGTCACTGAGTCCCCCAAAGCCCAAGTGCCTGTCTCCATCCTTCCTAGAAAACTCACACTCAGCAGTGAGCTGAGGGAAAAATTCGAACACCATTTTCAAAAGAAGCTCATTGAATACCAGTGGGGCTTGTTCCCCAGAGCTCCATCAGTGGTGTGTCCCCTTCAGACACAGTGCCCTGTGACAGCTGAGACAAAGAGTAGTCATGGAACCAACCATGTCTCTTTGCTTAAGAGTCAGAGCAGCAAAGACCTCAAGAATTTTGAACTGAGCCAATCCAGGTTTCATGAGAGCATCCAAGAAACTCTTCCTCTCCAGAAGGGGGTGGAGAAGAGACAGGAGCACAGTCCAGAGACTGGCTCCAAAAACAATCAGTTGGGCAGCCCACAAGAGGCTCCACAGAGTGTTCTGGGCTCTGACTCAGAGACAGACCCAGAGAGTCACCTGCAGAGGTTCATAGGGAAAATTTCACAGGCATCATGTGTGAGCTTAAGACAGAAGCAAATTATAAAAGCCTTAGAAGTACATTTGTACAAGAAATCTGAGGAAATCTGTAAGGGTCACATCCCTGATACTGTGAACATATCAAGACATTCCACCAGTTCAACACTTTCCTTAGCTGAAGAATGCTCCAAGCAAATACAAGATGGACATCTGGCATCATTGGAGGGTAAAGACAGCTACCCAAATACTTCTCGGAATATTTCCTTCCTCAGTTACAGCAAAGAAAAGATGTTGGAAGATCATATTAAAATTTTTCATAGCAGAAAGATGCAGGGACTTTCACACAAGGCCCAGGAATCCACAGAAATCTCCATCCCAAAAAAGGATCCATCACAGCCCCTTTCTGATGACCACATTCCCTCATCAGACACAAATGTTTCTGGGCTGCATGCTAAACCTGAGGTCTGTAAGCTCCTTAGAGAAAGTACCAGTGCTCTGCAGACATGCATTGTGAAAACACCAAATTCAGTTTTGGACGGTCCTTGTCCTGCTACCTCACCTGTAGACAAGGAAGGACAGGGGGACCTGAGACAGTCACCCTCTTCTACCATCCCTGAGCTTACTGGAAACATCCAGACATTAAAGGATGGCACACAGATCATTTTGAACCTCCAACACAACATAGACAAAGCAAGTCAGAAGCAGAATTTGCAAGCCAAGAGAAGCAGCCCAAGGTTGCCCACACGGCTGACTGGGGCAGGACCTGAGAAAAGGGAGAAGAGAATGAGCTCTGACAGTGACACAGAAAGGTTTCTGAGCCAAATGACAATGCAGTTACAAAATTTCCCTGTGTGTAAGAAGGCTGGAGCTTTGAAAGCACAGGAGCTCATTGTGCACCAGTCACAGCTCAGTAACGTCTCGACAAGCAGTAAGTCAGAAGGCATCCCAGAAAGAGATCTGAGTACAGGTAAGCCAGAAGCTTCTCTGACTACTGAAAGGTCTCCAGGAAGAACAGTAGTTCCCCAGGACCTCAAGCCATCAGGCTTTCAAAATCAGCTGTCTAGTGAGCCGATGTTTGAAATGGAGAATGTGGAGCAGAGTCAGGCTCAGGGCCTTTCCGCTGATGTGTCCCTGGCTTCCAGTGACTTGTCTCCCAAGACTTTATTCCATCATGACCAAGGTGACTGCTATGAGGACACAGCAACTTCCCAGGACAAAATAAAAACCCACATGGAGGAGGGGAAAGAGCCTCGGGACCCTCAACATGTCTTACGTCAGTACCAGGACAAGAAATTCCTCACAGCAGAAAAGAGAACACATTCTCTGACACTGAAAAGAAGAGATCCTGGTGGGATAAATGCAGGTCTGGGTGCATACCAGGGCAGGGAGAGGAGCCGCCCTGACCAAGACACTACATTGGATAAGACTCACTGGAGCAAGTCCTCCCTATCCCTGTCACTGGAGAGACAGCCTCCTCTTGAAAATCTTTTCAAAAATAAGATGAAACACTACTTCCAATGGTTTTGTCCTAGTACGAAATACAGAATGCAAGAAAGCTCCAAGGAGAAGACCAGCACCCCATCCTCCTCTGCACTGAGCAGAGGCCTGGAGAAAGCAAGAGCTGGATTGCCTGGGAACTCCAGAGACGGGAAAGTCAGCAGAGGCTTTGCAAAGTTCTTTAACCAGAAAGTGCAGGAAGAACATTTTCTTCCCCTCAAATAATTTCTCCACTGTTAGAAAACACTGTTCCCAATAAAAGTCCTAATAAAGAGATGTCTTTTTGTGTACTGAGTTGAGGGCACAGGTTGGGTAACTTGGGCTGTGCTTATGGAAAGTGCTCAGTAAAGCTCTCAATGATTGGCTCTTTGATTCTAAAAGTGACTAGTCCCCTGTAGCCCTTGTTGAGCAGATATCACATGCCCTCAAAAGAACTTTTCCCTCCCTGAAGTGTGAGGAAGTGGCTGTACTTCCTACCCTTTAGCTTAGCCTCCATGACACCGTGTGGCTGCCCATAACTTTTCCACCAATAGTTTCTGTTGGTCTTCCACACCGACAGGGAGGTGACAGACAGGTGAGGGTTTCGGGATGGGATGGATCAAGTATTTTCAGAGGCAGAGGTTGATCTTTCTTAGCGTTCAGAGGGCACTGCCACAGTGGCTTTTGGGGGGTGGGTAAGGCCTCGCAGCCTTGTGGGTGCCACAGAAGCTCTTGTGAGGGATGTACTAATGTGCTTCAGAAAGACACTTTTAAAATATTAATTAGTATGTGTTTTTGTTACATAGTGTACATACATTATGGGATGTTGGTACGTGTGCATAATACATCTTGATTTTTTTACCATCCCCTCTCCTCCCCCTCTCCATTTCTTGGTCACCTTTCCGTGTGTAAAAGATATATCTCCTTGATTTCTATTATCTGTATTTTATTTTATTGTTTACTTTCCATGCAGATTTTCTTGGTTGATAAATCTCCTAAATTATTTGTTTTTTCATGGCTTTGTCTTGTGGCTGTCTGCACAGTAAAAGGTCGCCTAGCTGTCAGTGGTAGGACTGTCAAACCAGCATCCACCTTCTTCCCAGGATAAAAAGTACTTAGAGTTAAAGGAAAAGATATCCTAGAGTGAGTGAGAAAGCAGAAAACATGGAAAAGGAAAGAACGACCATGCAGGGGGAACTGATGTTGATGCCACATGATTTCATTCACATTTCATGAACCTGTGGTGCTGTCCCTTTCCCTAGTAGCCTAGTTAGCACTTCCTTGGGGATGATCAGAATATGACAGAGCTTACTAACATCACACTAGCTATTGTTTGAGAGCTAAGTATCTAAGTATATCCTTCCTCTCTTTAGAGAAGGTAAACATGGTGCCTTCCTTTAATCCATGCTTGATGACAACATGCAGTATCTTCCCCATCAGTGTGTGTGGTTCACCCATCAGGATAGACACATCACTCTGAACTTCAATGGCCTTGATGGAACTATGGAGAGGTCTGGCCCTGTTACCTGAGCTCATCATCTAATGATGAATCATTGATTATGCACTAGGGATAGAGACTCATGGGTTCCACAGGGAGTTAGATAGAACATGTTCTGGTCAAGACTGAAATTTAACCACATACATTTATAAATAGTGGTATTTTGGGAAGGCAACTATATTAGCTGCTTCCCTTTGTTGGGACATAATACCCAACACTCACACTGTGAAAGAGGAGAGGTTTACTTTGGTCCGTTTTCAGAGGACACAGTATAAAGTTGGACCATTCCAAGGAAGAAACACATGGTGGAGGGTCTGGGGAAGAAAGGTGCTCATCCCATGGCAGCCTGGCTGCAGACAGAGAAATGGAGGAGCCCATGTCAGAAATGTGCCCTTGCAGGTCGTCATCCTCACAGTGACCTACTGCAACCAGCACCACCACCTGTCAGCACATTCAGCTTCTGAGCTCAGTCATCCACAGGTAAGTGCAGTGTCCTTGTGATCCAGTCACTTTATAAACTCATAGGACTTTGTGGGGACATTTTAGATCTAAATTCTAGTAGCAACTCTTCTTGAATGGACAGGGACTATAAAATGATTTGAGTTTCCCAAACGCCTCTTGAGGTGGTTTTTCCCACAAAAATTTGAGAATTCTGGGTGTCAGAATAAAAATAAAATATATGCCTGCTATAGCTCCTCATTCTACTGTAGCTGATCCTGTCCAGATCTATGCCCCTACCTGTGCAGTATCTGAAGTTCAGTGTTGCAATTTGAAAGCAGACTCTGCAGAATCCTTGGAAAGGTCCACAGTGGGAGGATCCAGGCAAGAAACTTGCAGAGGTGAGGAATCTGGGGAGGGCCTCAGCATCCACAGTGACAGGCTTTCCAGTGACCAGGCCTCTAAATTCCTTCACTGTCCTAGTTGAGGGCCTTTTCACTCCATTGCAGTGCACGTCGTCCCCCATCCTTGAACTGTTAAGGCAAGAGCTACATAATAGCCACCAGAAGTGTTATGCAGCTAACTTTATTCAAAACCAGAAAGCATAGTTGGCTCAAAACAGGCACACATTAGCTTGATATATTTATATATACTCATCTATGATATTTATATATATAATTCATTTAGATAAACTGGGAAATACATGATTTCTTCACTATGTGGTTAAAATCTTTTATTTGTGGACTCACTAAATCTTGGGTTCATTTAGGAAAATTTCATGTTTTCTCTAAGGAGCTAGAATTACAGAACTTAGTTGCTTAGGGTACCTAGCTTCAATAGGGGACAAATATGCAGGTGGTGCAGAAAGTGTGTCTGCAGGCTAGGAGAGGTCTTAGAATAAGGGGTGGGAGTGGAACCTTGTGGTAGTTAATGATTCAACATGGCTGAGAAACAGGATTCCTACTTCTTTGATTCAACACTATTTCTAGTCTTGGAATATTTCTTGAGAGATTGGCCTTATATTTGTGCTCAGAGTAAATTAGACTAATCTGCAATTTTAGTAATCATCATATCTGCTGGACCTCAGTAGAGCAGAAGTAAAGCTTCATTTTGCTCTCTGGCTGCTGAGCTGGAGACAGTGATTTTCTGCCCTCTCTTCAGCACTTTTGATCTAAGCCCTTTTGGAAATGGGTGCAGCAACATCCATAGTTGTCTGGCTCAGACTTGCAAATTATACACCATCAGTTTCCTGGATCTCCAGACTGCAGGGAGCAGATTGTCTGACTTCTCAGCATCTACAATTATGTGAGCTGATACTTTATTCTAAATGTATCTCTGCAAAGATTCTGAGGTTCTGAAGAAACCTACCTAATAGGACATGAATTTATGGGATTAGTTAAGAAATCTGCAATTCTCTAGCCAGCATATCTGACAAGAATTCTAGGTGAGTGTTAACATTTTTGTAAATGTATAATATAATCATGGTTTCTCCTCTTAACAATAAAACTGCAATGAAGTAAAAATGTACTGTGTTAGAAAAAAACGAGCATTTTGGCTATCTGAAAAATTAGAATACTCACTTGCCTGTAATTGTTTAAACTGTCAATAAAGTAAAGTAGTGAGATGAAACTTTATTATATTTCCTGTTAACTAACGTATTTTGGAAATCATGTAATATATTTTATCAGTCAGATAATGTATTTCAAAGATTCCACTGTGGAATGAACAAAGCAGTTGGTTGGAAAGTAGAGCTGTCCCAGCACTGGTAATGCTTACTGTCTCTCAGAAAGGGAAATTTCTGTGATTCCTGTATCACCAGCACAGAAATGTAATTCTGCAAATCAGTAACTGAACCGAAGCTGGGCAAATGCTTTCAACAGAAGATTCACAGAGAAGGGGATACTAAGCGCCTGATTGATACATGAAAGATAGCTAGTTTCACTTCAGTTCATGAAAATGCAAGCCAGTGAATTTAATTTTCCCAGTATTAAGTAAAAAGAAAACAAAAATCAGCAACAATAATATTGTTTTAAATTCTGGCAGGGATAAAAGTACAAAGCTGTTTTCCACACATGATTGGTTTAAATGAATATAAGAAGTAGGCAAAGCAATTTTTCAAGTTCCAACAAAGAACCAGAACCCACTGTTTCCACTTACAGTAGACAATGGCACCGCTTTTCCAATTAGTACACTAAGAGGTGTGGGAAAGTGTGTTCATTACAGCGTTTGTTCACTGTTAAGACTGTTGCTCTGCGAGGTTGCACTTGAGCCGCAGAGCTGCAGGTACTGCATAGTCTCAGGTGGATCTACCCAGTGAATTGAGCCCAAGAGTGACATTGGACAATTTAGGATTTTATAAGACCATCCATCCTGTCTTATTGGTAATCCATTCAATAAGTGCTCTTATATTGACAGTAATATTTTCCAGGAGAAATAGCAGTAGTTTACCCTAAGAAAACAGCAGCAGTGAAGGCAGTGTGTTGTGTGCAGTGTACAGTGTGTTGTGTGTCTATTGAAATCAGTTTAAAAGAACTGTGAATAGGGGCTTGGGATTTAGTTCAGTGGCATAAACGTCTGCTTGGCAAGTGCCAGGTTGTGAGTTCAATTCCTGGTACAAAAAACAAAACCTGTGAATAGTCTGATCTGAGTAGAAAACTAGGAGGTATGCATGACCCCAAAAAGCTGATACAAGGGTATTTAGAAAATAGTTCTGCTGGACAACCATTTTTTTGTTTTTTAAAATTTACTTTGAAGAATTAAAAACAATAAAAATGATACAAAATTTCAGAACAAAATGATAGGGAATTAACAATGATTATTATTGCATATTGTTAACTTCAAAATAGTTGCTGAGATTACCAGATATAAGCATGCAAAATTGGTCAAATATAACTACTAACTGTTCCTTTCAATGAGTTAACAACAGAATTAGTAGTAAAATTATCTTAACTATTATATATTAATATATATAATAGTTCCTTTTCTCCTTTCCCGCATACCAGTTGGTCTTTCCTTTTGAGTAGTTTCTTTACATTTCACAATATCTATTGTATCCTTTGGATTTTACTCTTTCAGTGTCATATGCTAGGGAGAAAATACAATGCTTAAACACGAGAGACTGATTTATTTCACTTATGAGCATGGTCTCTAGTAGCATCCATTTACCTATAAAAGCTTAGAGTTTATCTTTCTTCACAGCTGAGTAGTACTTCATTGTATAAAAATACTGTTATGGTTGACACATTGAGTCAACTTGAGTTTAGAAATTTAACTAAGAGACACAGCAGGGAGCCAGGATCCCTACTTTATAAATAACCTCATCCT